CCTGAGTAGCACTGCCCCTGCAGAGCCAGAAGGGAGGCATCTTTTCCCCTCAACTTCATGTTAGCACCTTCTAGTCAGCCTGACTGTGTGGCTGGGGCACTCCTGCAGGGGGGGAGGTTGTAAGAAACCAAACAGGAAGCCTTTTGCAGTAGCTCTGCAGACCTGCCCTGTTTTTAGAGCCAGTTGTGCTACAGAGTTCTCCTTTCCTCCTTCCTTTGCCACAGATTCCCCATCTATAGCATGAAAATGGTCCCTGCTGCCAGGGGCAGTAATGCTTCAAGAGCATCTGAGAGGTTTAGATGGAAAGCACTGTGCACGTGCCAACTCTTATTTAATCAATGATTTAATTGAAGTATTGCTTTATTAACCTATATCTCATTGTATAACATTACAAAGTTTATTTCCCACCTGGTTCCCACATATGCAGCTAGAAAAATAATTGGGCCTCTGTTGTGAAGAAGTTGGATGGCCTTGGTATATTTGGACTCCAGAATAAAATATGTTAACTGTAAAGGCATTATGGCTAGGGACAGAAATTACACATAAACCAGTATAAGTGATCCTTAACCAGTTCAAATCTGTAACACAACAGAAGTTCAGTGCACATAAACTGTTTTCAAAATGGCCAAACTGGTTTAAGATAAATCTGGATGGATGTAGTATCAGACGTAACTAATTCAGGTTAAATTGGTTTATTGAACTTCTGTCCCAGTTCCCCTCCAGATTCAAGTTAACTCAGTCCCCTAGCATCCCGGGATGCTTTGTACTTCCCCTGCAACCTCCCCCTCGCAGAGTAGGCAGTCTAGTCTTGGCCCAAGCTGTCTGCTCCAGCTAAACAGGGAGGCATGTTCTAGCACCCGCTAGCTCAGGGGCGGGCAATTTTTTTCGGGTGGAGGGCCGCTTACTGAGTTTTGGCAAGCCATCGAGGGCCGCATGACAGGCAGCCAGGGGAAGATAAATATTAATTTTCTAAATTTTTTAGGGGCCGGAGCCAGACAGAATGGCCTGGCAAGCCACATCTGGTCTGCAGGCCACATTTTGCCCACCCCTGCCCTAGCTTCTGCCCTGGGCCACTGCAGGCATGTGGATGTATTTCCAGACTCGAAAGTGAATGTCTGTTCACTTGCTTATTGGTTCAATCTATGCAGCTTAGACTAACCTGCGAAGACTGAATCAATTCAGCACTGGGCTTTTTGACTGTACTTAGCCTGTTGGACTAACCTCTCAGCTGACATAAATTGATATACTCCACTGCAGTCAGTCACCATTGCCACACATCACTCTTAATAGCGTATTATAGTGTCCATTCCCATGTCTTATTCTTTCACTAGGAAGTAGTAACATTGGCCTCTGAGAAGAACTGAGGAAAGGACCCCGTCTAGTGGAATCCAGTTTGAGGTGATTCAGACTAGGAGTGGTGAGGATGCTTCCCACTTATAAAGGAATAACAATATTCTCACTAGCTGCTCAGAGCCAATGGTGATAAGGTCCATATAACTGTAGAACATTTTCAAAGGCAGAGTTTACCATCTCAATGAGCATATCTTGGGCTAAGAGGAAGTACCTTCGAGTTACTGCACCTAGCTTGGGAAAGGGAAACAAGTTTCAAAAGTCTTTCCCCTCACACCTCAGCTTCTCATCTGCCATTTGATAACCCCAATTTTTATGCCTCTGGGGTTTTTTATCCCTTCTTTTTCATTTTTATGCATCATTTCAAACAAGGGAGAAAGTGTTTGATGTCCTTGCTGTTCAAATCAAGCAACATTTTGATCTAAGGCACCAGTGCAGGGAAAGCTGCAGATTGGTTGAGACAATTGAAGGTTTAGCATTCTGTAAATGTAGGACCTGTTCCACAGATATTTCAGCACAGCAATGCAGTGTTGCAAGGCATAACTTACCTGGCCCCTGTAGTGGAATATATGGCCCTGAAATAGGAAAAACAAGCATAGGTATGCTGAGAGGAGAGAAAACTAAATTAATCAACAGGAAATTCCGAGGATCATGGTGTTTCTTAGATCCTGAATCTCTCTCTCTAGGGAAAAGGCACCTTATTCAGGACTGCATGGAGGCATCTACATCCACTTGGATTTTATAGTTTTGAATCTTTGCCTGAAGGTTAACCCTCCCGCCTTTTCTTTCAAAACAGACTCACACTTTCCATTCTAGGCATGAATGCCAGAGAAGAATGAAAAGCCGCCCCTCTCCCAACACACACCTTGTCAGAGAGCTCCCTAATCCCCAAGCTGTGGTGGAGAGTGGGTAACAGCACTCGCACTCCTTCCTAGTGAATCTGTTTCACTTTACGTAAAGGAAGGTTCATGGGGCCAAAGGGCAGGAAAACAGTAGAGTATGAATCTCAAGTTCAATGGGTAGGGCTCTCCTTCCTCCCAGAGCTGTTGCGTATTTTAAATCAGTCATTGATTAAGGTACAATGGCTCCGCTGTGGAGGAGGAGCTGTTCCTTTCCCCTGTGGATGAATGCCATAGCCATTAAGCTATAGTCATGCTCTTTCACTCCCTTTTTGTCATGCCCAATGGCCTTTTAATTCTTTTCTATCAAGTGGAATAGCTTCAACAGATGGGAGTAAAGGAACCTGCTGTTCATGCAGCCATCCTAAATGCCCCAGAGCCTACTGGTAGGGACATTCTCCTCCAAGGTGGGAGATGTGTGTTTGAATCCCCTCAGCAAGAGGAGGGGACTGAACTGAGGTGTCCCATGTACCATGAATGACGCATGCCCCCGGAGGCTGGGGAGCATGGCAACCGCCCGCAGGCGGTGGTGGCAGGGGTGTGGTGGTGCCAAGTGGGGAGCTCCCACAGGCGGCCACGGTGGTGTGTGTGTGTGTGGGGGGGTGGCAGTGGTCATCTTGATCCATTGGTAGATCTCGGAGCCTCTTGGAGTTGATCTGAGGCTGGGGTGGGGTGCCCGCATGCATGGATGCGTGTGCCCCAGCCCAGCAGGTCAGCCCGTGGGGGAGGGGAGGGAGGGGCGAGGCTAGACTGAGCTCCCACAGTGAGGGACAGTGCCAAAGAGGCAGGAGTAGGGGTAAGTTGAGCGGGGCCCCGGCTGGGTGGGACGTATTACCTGCTGGGGTACTTACCCCCAGATATTTTATTCTCCTTTTGCCTCAATTTGTTCCCCCACCTTCCCTCCACACAGACTTACCTGCTGGGTAGGGGAGAAGGGGGGTGGTGGCAGTGCACGGCAGATCTTGGGTTGCTTTTAAATGCCAAAGGTGAACTCCTGCTTAAAAAGGGTGGCAACCACTGGTGTAAGATATGGGGAATGTCAGCGTTTGAAGGATAGCTGTACTTCCCATTGTGTAGTGTGCTGAGACAAATGCAGTAAGCTTTCTTTCTCAGAGCACACCCACTAGATTGAGCCCCTCAGGAGAAAGAGGCAAAGGAATGTGTAGCTTGTGGATCCTGCTGGGGCTTTGGTGCTGAATTATTCAGGCCTGTCAAGATTTAGGTGTGTCTGGGCATACCTAAAAGTACAGTTTTAAAAAAAGTTTGTACTTCAGGGCCAGGTACAAACTTTTTCCAGTGTAAGTGATTGAAAACCAGTCAATGCCCATAAGAGAACAGAAGTTTGGCACACACAGACTGATTAAAAAATGGCGAAACCCAGTTTAAGATTCCTACCCCCACCACCAAAGGGCGAATGTGTGTTCTGTTCACTACCAATCTAAACTAAGTTGCTGACAGAAAACTGTATAACCTAGATCAATTCTGCTTCAAGGTTTTTGAATGTCTGTACCTAGCACAGAATGTCAGGTACTTCTAGAGTTAAAAACCAGCCAGGATGGATTTGAGGATCTGTTTTGGAAATAAGATAGATACCTTGGGACAAGTTTTTTCAGCCTGTGGTCTGTGGACCACTGGGGGTCTGCAAACTATGGCTAAGGGGTCTGCAAAAGATGGCTATGATCAATCAAAAGTATGTGAATACCCACACTTACAAACCCACACCTCCATTTGGAAGTTTTAAGGGTCCGCAAATGAAAAAGGGTTGAAAACCACTGCCGTAGGATTTTACCAATTCATTTAATGAATCTGAGCTTTAATCACATTGCTGCCTTATTTTTGCCTGACTTCAGTCACACTAGTAAGGTGCAAAATTTATTTTACAGGTTTTCCTGATCCCTAAATACAGTCACTGATCTTGAATTCAACCTAGGCAATTTTTTTTAAGATGCAACTTCTTATACACACCAACATTTTTCACAGATTTGCATTTGTGCATGCACACACATAGCCAACAGATTAAATCTTTTACAGATTCAATGTTTCCTTCTATTTACATCGAAAGGAAATGAGATGATGTTAAGCAACATTAAATCAGTCAATAGGCAAACCTGAGTCTCCCATCTGGAGATGAATCAATAATCAGAGACCACATTAGCAAGAAGGATGGCAAAATTGAAACACATATACACATTAGAACGAACTTGTGGTTGTATTTTATTCAGTCAATGTAAATCTACCTTAAAAACACAAAATAGAAAATCAAAATCTTTTTAACCCAATACATTAGAAGAAGCTGCAAGCCTGGAGCTCAAGCACAACCAAAGGTTGCAGCATCAACTGAGTTTTTCAGAGGCCAAAGCAATACACCGGAACAAAGTAGTATCTGTGTGAAAATATACTCCTTGCACCGTTAGGAAAACCTTCAGGTGCAATGTTTTATAGCTGTCAGTTACAAGAAGAAACATGGGTTATACAGTTTACATTTTGTTGCATTGCTTACATAGGCCCTGGATTAATATAAAAAACAAGCAAGATTTAAGCCCTTGCTTCTCAACCCATACCAACAGACAATTTACATGTTGATAAAGCTAGCTTCACTTAAATGAGCCTTAGACAAGAATTAACTTTACATATTATTAACAGCTTTGGAACTACAAACATTAGAATCAGGATTACATAGGTCATGCTAGTATTTCCTTTTACCTGTTGCAGTTATTGCAATATGGCTTGCCATACATAGGTATGCAGTTTGTACAAACTTAAACCAATTTCACATTTGCATGGTGTTATAACGAGCACAATTAATGCAAGCAACCTAGCCTCCGAGAACCAACAGCTGTTATCAGAATTATCCAAAGACAAGGGAAAAAGCTGCCACTAATCATGGACAAAGATGGTCAGGATCGTTTGAAGTCAATTTTAAATGCATATACGTTTTGCTGTGAGGTAAGAAAAGTCTTTATATTTGGCCACTCTTGTGAGAACTCTGGTTATCATGTCTCTGCTAATATAGGTCATGGACCAGTCATGCCACTGACCGCCAGTTTTTTTGTAGTGAATAGCTGACCTTTTCCGTACGTAAAAAGACTTGTCTTTTCAAGAGTCTTTCCAGAATCCAGCCTATTAATGACATGTGCCTCTTTCTAAAATCTGCATATTATGTATATATGTGTATATGTCCCTGGTGTGGTAGCAGGTCAAAGTCCTTATAATGGAGAGTAGATACACATTTGTTTAAAGTCCAATATCAGATATTCTCGAAGAAACATTTATATGGAGCCCCTAATCTCACATGCATGATTGAACTCTGTTAACTATGATGGAATTCATCAAAAGAATTGAAAGATTCTGAGTATTTAGTTGCTCTTTAGAGTTAGTATAAAGATATATAAAATTAGATCTTTTTTACTGCAACATCACATGTCTGTGGTACAAGTTACGAAATAAAGACCGGCTCCTATCTCAGCACAGACAGCCTTTCATGTTTAGGTTTCAAGTAATATTAAACCATGGTTAAAACCTTCAGCAGGAAGGAAAAGGCAGATTTTTTTTTTCAGAGAAAAGCAAGCAGATAAAATTAATTAATTCTACTAGCTCATGGGTTCAATAATTTAAGCTCTGTTCCATGGAGAACAGCAGGGAGCCATGAAGTGAGATATGGAAAAATGACAAAAATTATAATTTTTGCTTTTTAAAGTACAAAGTCTACCTCCCTCAAAATGTTCAGAGAACAACTATGACCACTTAGATGGAGACTACTGCAGACACTGATTAACAGTTTGTGTTACTAACTCCTGATGACCAATACTGTCCTACTCCAATACTTTGTGGCGATTGTTTGAGCACTTTCCACAGTAATCTGCATAAACCAAGAATCTATGTTTAGGTTCTTCCCTTGGCAATAGAATGAAATGGTTGCATAAAAACTTTCTGGCTCAAGGCATCTTATATTAGCAAAGGTTGTGCAAGATGTGGTTCTATACAAATTTTAGGAGACACCCACCATGTCCACTTGCAAGCAGTGAATTAGTTAGTTGGCTAATAGTTTTTTTCTGAGTAATAAGATAAAAGTTACAGAAAACCACCACCAGATGGTGCAATTGCACCAGTGCAATGAGTCAAATTTTGCTTGCTCACCGTGCAGCCCCTGGGAGAGGCAAGCACCTGCCATAACAAGAACATTTGGTACACTGAAAAAGCTCATTTTAAAATAAATTACTATACAGGTAGGACAGTGAAGCTACTGGTTAACATCTTGCTCAACCTGAATGGCGTGAAGTTTACAAAGTGCAAAGTATAACATTTTAGAAATCAGAACAAAAAGTGTATGGACTTGCCCACTATGCATATTCAGTACCTAGAAGGTCAAGTACAGAATGCTTTCAACAGTTAATTATTGTTCAATTATTTAATATTTCAAGCCAGGCCTGTTTAGTGACTGTGCTGATCTATACTTGTAACTTTTTACAGTAAAAGCTCTGTTATCTGGCATCCCCCGGGAATGGGGGATGCCAGATAACAAAATATGCCAGTTAACTGAGTGGCCCGAACAGGCGTCCTTGCCTGTTGGGGCCGCTGCTTCTTCCGCCCCTCCCGCAGCATCGTCGCCCCGCCCACAGCATCGCCAACACTCCCATGGGCCCTGTGGGCCCTGCACAGCCTGCTATGCCCCCAGGATGTGGGGGCTCAGCAGCTCAGGCTGCTTTGACTCGGGCTATGCGGGCTCGGAGAAATCAGAAGTGCCACAGTGAGCACTTCCGATTTCACTTTTCCTTACAGGCTGGCGTGCCGGTTAACAGAACATGCCGGCTTGTAAGGTGCCAGTTACCGGAGAGTTTACTGTACCTGGCAATGAGGAATATTGTGTTGGAGGTCTATTAAGTCTTGAAACAAACAGAAGTATAAGCAAAGACTTCATTTAAATCACTCCCAGAAATCACAATTTACTAAATGCACATGAGCATTAGGAAACACACTGCTCTGAAAAGAAGTGGGCAAAAATATAAAGTGGGCATAATCTAGTATCTACCAAACCTTTTTTGTTACAGAACAAGTCTCATTTCACAGCATTTATGTGGTCCAGGACACAGGGTAGCATTAGAATGCAAAAAAAAATAAGTAAGTTGATCCTTTCTTTACAACATTAAAACATTTCAATATTTTGTCTCAGATTTAAGCAGAGCAAATGAGGGCCATTTTAGGGTTGGTGAACAGTTTGAAATGTTATGATAAGCATAGAATTGTTATGGACTAGGTGTTCTTAGAACTATTACATTGCAAAAAAGCAAACTTTAAATGTTTTCAATACAATACAATTATAGTGCACTCACTCCCGGTACTTAGAGGAGATAATTCAAAATTAATTTCTGCTTAATAACTTACATCAGCAGGTTTCCAAATAGGAATTTGTACCTTTTGACCACAAATGTTCTTTAATGGAAGCAAGAACAGCTACCAATGTATTGCCTTAAATATCCATTCTTACATCCTTTAAATGTATGTCACCATTGCCATTGGAAGACTGCTCACACAGATATACCTAACCTAGCTATAAAATGAGCAAGCTCAGGAATGTATAGCAGGGTAGACATGGCAGCCTAAGAATTCACCCAGGGCATGGGGTGCATTTTGTGATCTTTGAGCCACTTGCTGCCATGGCAAGACTGTTAACAATGCCTGTGTTTGTTAGTATAAAGCCAGCCCAGGTATGTCTGCATTAGCTCTAGTCACACCTTTTGACTACAGCATGAGTGTATATTAAGTGGAAATTCACACAGATGATTTGTGGCCTGCCATAGTTCACTCACAGTGCTTCACCATGGTCACATGCACTTAGCGTCTCATTCGTTGTGTAATGCAAGTGTACATCATATTGTATTTAACGCTAAGGTAGAGAAAAATATGTTAAAGTCAAACTAAGTTTAAGATATACATATAAATATGCAAAGAATTACACTTCAGTTTTGGAAGCTTGTTAGAAGAGGAAAATGTGGAACAGAAACTAGGCATTACCAGCTTCCTTTTCAGGTTAGGCTATGGAAGTCAGTCAGACAGAAATTGTCACAATTTTTGTATTTTTTTCCCAAACAAAAAGACAAGTCTTGAAAAGAGTTAAGTGTTAGCATCCGAGAGTAAAAGGTGGTGGCTCAAGCTCCTGATCCTGTCTCAGGATTGTCAGTTGCTCTCTAGAATGACATCAGAGATTGACGGTCTATTTTCCCAGTTCAAAAACATTGGTCTTCAAGTTCAGAAAGCAGGTTTTACTTTTGGCTAATGTCATCTTCACAGCTTAGTCTCTCCAAATGCAATGCAAATATGTAAAAGTACAGCTGAAATAAAAGAACAAAAATGTTAATAAAGCCTTATTAGTTTCAACTTACTCACTTTCCCGAACTTTCCTTAAACAATGGAAATTTTGGGGCAGGTTTTCTGGAGAAGTGTTAAGGAGGCACCTCATCAATTCAGTTAACAAGCAAGATAAATGACCAAGGCAAAAGGGGCCTGTACCTGTTATATCCCTCAACTAAGAACGCGCTTATATTAATTCAGAAAATTTGCTTGAAATCTCAAAATGTTGAGAAAATCTGACAGTTATTGCAGGTTGTATTACACAGCAACACTCACATCCAGAGACAACCCTAGCAGATGGCGGGGCCCAGGGCAAATCAGCCTGTGTGGGGTCTGGACACAAAGAGGCCAGCAGTGGCGACAGGGGGGCAGGGGGTGGCAAGTGGCCAGACGCAAAGCCGGCAGTGGCGTGGAATCACTAGCACTAGGCAGGCCCTGCAGAAGGGGCCACGGCCGCTCCGCCCAACTCCGCGGGGGCCCAGGGCGGTCACCTAGATTCGCACCTCCCTAGGGACGGCCCTGCGCACATCCCATTAGGATTCTCAAAAAACTTTGTTTTAAAATCTTGCAGATATATATCTATGTTTAAAGCATACATTATTTTTCAAGAACACAAGTTAAAAAAAATAAAACAATATAAGTTTAGGAATTTTCAAATATGGAATGATCTGCTGCACATCCAAGATTCACAGGAAACAAGCATCCACGTGCCATAGAACGTGAAAACACACTCTATATGGTATACATAAGCCCAGTAGTAGGGAATGTTTTCCTTCCTCTGTTCTCAATCTAGTTTTTGGCAAAAAAACCCCCAAAACCAAAACAAAGTTAGAAGAATTTTCCAAGTGTGGTCACCACCACTCTTTTCATCTTATTTTCATTTTTAAAATAGCTTGATAAACTTCAGTGTTGCTAAACATCCAATGTTGATAAACATTCTCTTTTCTTCATTGATAATCTAACTTTGTGGTGGTTTTATGCTCTGAAGTTTGTGACAGCATGGAAAAATGTTTTACTAGAATGGCTAGAAATTTTAAATCAATAAAACAAGTTTAAATCTCCAGAAGTCATTTGACAGCCTATTTTAAGCTCTCCTATGGAGAGGAATCATTACTATTTTAAATCTAAATAACTTAAATCTCAAATGTAAAGTATCAACTTTGTGTTGTATCTAAGACCTGGACTTGGAATTTTTTAAGCTCTCCCTTCCCTTCCATTCCTATGAAGATGGCAAAAAATAAAAGAAAAACACAACAAAACAACCATCTGATGAACATCACATTTTGGAAATGTCCAAGTGACTTAATGTTTGGTGGAAAAAATCTCCGTTTCCACAGATCTAACCAACACATTTCTTTGTTTGTAGGCTTCTTAAAATGGACAAAAGAAAAAAAATATACAGCTAACAAGTCTAGGATTCCCAAGACTGTGTTTCAGTTTCCCTAGTTTGTTGCCTCAATTGTCCAAAAGACTAGACAGATACTCAGGAATATAGCTGGATTATTTAAGAACACTGTCAAAGTATTATTTAGAATGTAAATGTCAATTACTTTTTTCTCTCCCACATTTTATAACAGCCTTAACAAAATCCCATATCTGGAGTGCCCTCTTACACATGATATATTTTCCCCTCATAAATTTGCACTGATGTATTCTATTCAGTTTGCTTACAAAAGCCGAACAGCTGGCACTGACTGTAGCTTTATGCAGGAAGTGTCTGCATAACTTTTAAACTTATTCCTGCACTGAGGTACAGATATTGATGTGCCCTGCGCACAGATCTGGGGGGCACAGGTCTCACCTACCCCCTCTGGGACTGCGTGCAGCAGCAGGGAGCTGGCCCCAACCCTCCTGCCCAAGCCCGCAGGGGGCAGCCTGACCCCGTCCTCCCCACAGGCTCCGCACTCCAGCTGTGCTGCCCACGGTGGAAGTGGGGAGAAGGGGAAGCCGGGCTTCACACACTGCTTTGCTGTAGCAGCGCCACCTCCCGCAGGTGGCAGCCAGGGCTCAGGTGCTGCTGCGGGGGGTGGGGGGCTGTGGACCTGGGTCCCCAACCTAGTTAGCCCTGGCAGCTGGGGGGCCCTCCAGCAGGGTTGGGGGGTGGGCAGGATGCTGTGGGTGGGGGGCAAGAGGCACCAGCAGGGCTGGGAGGAGTGTGGGGGAAGTGAGGGGTACCAGCAGGGCCAGGGAGCTGTGAGTGGGGACTGGGGGCACCAGCAGGGCTGGGGGACTGTGGCTTGGAAGTGAGGGGCCTGGATCTGTGCTCTGTGAGCTAAGGGGACAGGGGGGACTCTGATTTTCCATGATAAAAAACCGAAAATCAAATGGCAAAATTTATAGGTATTCAGAATTTATTGTAGTGGTTGAGGCACTGGTAGGCTTCCAAAATGCTTTAAAAGTGTAAATATATCAATAAAACATTGTGTTCAATTGATACCTCATATATATATAGATATATATATATAGATATATATATATAGATATATAGTGGTGTTTCATTTTAATTACGGATTTTGGGGGTTTAAATCAGAGAATTTACAATTTTTTATCAGGGAAAACCAGGATTCCTTCTGATCAGGAACTCCTCATCACTCTGACATCCTGGCCTGAACAAAATGATACTCAGCATCCAACGGCTGCAGCAACTGAATTTTCTGTGTGGCCTCCTATCCAGGAATTAAACAGATGAAACTCAACCTGCCTAGCTTGCAAGATGATGAAGCGATTTGATGACATACTATTTATTACCCTTGATTTGTTGCTAAAGTGGCTCCTATTTGATTGAGGGTTAAAGGGAGATAAAACAAGAGGTGGGACCATCCTGGAGGAGGAGTAGAACAGTGTTGCTCCCCCAACACAGGGAGAAGATAGACAGCATCTCACTGTTTTTAGCAAAGAAGAATAGTGCTGCACTGCACGTAACAAGTGGTCTTATTTTCAAAGATGCTGTGTGTCCACAGCTCTCTCTGTGGCCTTGATGCAGGACAGAAGGGGAAGAATAATACAGTAGGTAAATGGTGTATAATTACCCACAAAATAGACTAGTACACCTGTGTTAGCCAACTTTTTTACATCTCATTCAAACAATATGCTTCTACCAAATAAAAATAGTAGAGTGATTTTCTAAAGGACAGAACTCTCCTAATTTCCCTTGTGCCAATGGAGGCTGTAAGTACTGGGCAACTTTGGGGGGGGGGGAGGGAGGAACCATCCAGGTTACTTATTCTGAATGCCTAGACATGGATTTAAATCATCTAAAGTAGGCAAGAAGAAGTTTGAAAAAGTTGTTCCTGATCTGTTTAATAAGATTTTTGGTGCTAGCAAAAGACACAACAGCATCACATCAATAACACACTGCAGTGACAGAAGTAAATTCTTCTGAAAATGCTACTTACATTAGGCCTGTCAGTCAGTCAAAGCCAATGAGCTCTGACTTTGATTCATTTCAGGGTAATGAGATGTGGGGTCTTGACTATTTACATCTTCTTCCACGTGCATCACCACATCTTCCACTGACTGGCTATGATGTTCTTCCTCCCTTTCTATGTGCATTTGCTGGCGTATACACTGGATTTCCACTGTCTGTTTAACTTCTATTTTCTTCAGCTCTGATTGGTCTGTATCAAGGGACTTTTTGGTGAAGTCTTCTGAAACACTAATTTCTACTATTGGCTTTTGATAGCCTGAACTTTCACTTAAAACCGCTTCAGGGATGGCTGCAATTTCTACTGAATCCTGACCGCCTCTCTCTTTAGATGTATCAGCAGTGACTGGCACATCTGTTGTTCGCTCTAGAGTAGCTTTTTCCTTTGTAGATGGTTGCTGGATCTCGTGTTCTTTGCTCACTCCTGTCTCTTCACCTTTTGCAAGTTGCTGATCGGCCAGAACACATTTCTGTATTTCAGATACATTTATACCTTCTTGGCTTCTGTCTGTTGACTCTGTCTGCTGCTGTGATTCAGACATGATGCTTACAGCCATTGGCTTTTCTGTCCTCTCAAGTTTGTCAACAGCAGTCTGAATGATCTTTAATACAATTTTTGTACTTTGAGATTCTATAGTCACAAACTGACCATCAAATTTTTCACATTCCATGTGGGTTAGAGAAGGGCTTTTATCTAGTACTATTTCAGAAGTCAGTTTTTCAGGTACTGATGCTACAGCCTGTACAGTTTCATCTGTGGTTTCCATTAGCATTACCGTTTCAGAAATTACAAGCTCTTCAACTGAGGCAGCTGTTACCGGCATAGATGCTTTTTGCGCTTCAGAGCTTTCAACTTCAGGAATGGCTGAGCCCATATCTTCCTGGGGCTCAACTACTTCTTGCTGCACTGAATAAACTGTATCACCATGTGCAATTTCCAATTTTCCAGAATCATGGAAATCTTTTTCCATTTTCAACATTTGCTCAGATTCAATTTTCTTAGTCTCACAGTCCTTTGAACTCGTTGTATGTAAAAGCATTTGTTTTGCTTCCACATGCTCTTTTTCTCTCTTTCCATAAACTGGCACTTCTTTAGGAAATATGTCTCCCTGAACAGAGGCCTCAGTTACAACTGCTTCGCTGCATTTTGATCCTAAAGCATTGTGTCTCTCTCTATCCACAGGGACTTCAGGTACCTCACTCTGCACAGAATCCCCAGCTGTGATTCCTTCTGTGCATTTTGATTCTAAGGTAGGCACAGCATCTTCCACCTTGCTCTGCAAAACAGACTCAGTTTCTATTTTTTCTGGGCATTTTGTTTCTAAAGGAGGCATGGCATTATCCGCCTCCGTCTGCATAGTGGCCTCAGTTGCAATTGTTTCTGAATATTTTGATTCTGAGGCAGGAAAAGAATCTTCTACCTCACTCTGCATCGCAGTCTCAGCTCTTTCAGTCTGCGTGGGGATGTCCGTTACAATTGTTTTGGTATGTTTTGTTTCCACAGTAAGGAAAGGATCTTCCACCTCACTCTGCGCAGGGACTTCCCTCTGCAGGGAGACATCTGTCACAACCGCTTCTATGTGCTCTGATTCTACAGTAAGCACAGTCTCTGCCACCTCTTTCTTCAAAGGATCCTCAGTCACTTCACTCTGCACAGAAGCTTCAGGAGAAGTTTCTGCCAGGTGTGTTGTTTCCACAGTAGATCTGGTATCTTCCAATTCACTCTGCTCAGGGACCTCAGTCACTTCCCTCTGCAAAGAAGCTTCAGGAGAAGTTTCCACCATGTGTGTTGTTTCTACAGTAGCTCTGGCATCTTCCAATTCACTCTGCTCAGGGACCTCAGTTACTTCACTCTGCATATGGAGCTGTGTTGTAATTACTCCTGTGCTTTTTGATTCTACAGTAAACAAGGAATCTTCCTCCTCTTTCTTCATAGGAGCCTCAATCACTTCACCCTGCACGAGGGCCTCCGCTACAGTTTCCTCTCTTCCTTTTGATTCCAAGGTGGGTGTCGCATCTTCCCTCCCACACTGAACAGCAGCCGCAGTTATATCACTTAGCATAGGGACTGCTGATACAGGTACTTGGCTGCACTCTGGTTCCAAGCTAGTCTTGATGTCTACTACTTGCTTAAGTTCCTCAGACAACTCAACCTTTGCTTCATCCACTTTCGGATCACCTTCATCTGCAGTCTCACCTGTAGGCAGGTCTGTTAAATTCAGTTTTTCTTCTTCCTTTGCAATATGTTGTTTTACTGCAGTAACATACTCAGCTTCAACCTCAAGCTCTGCCTTGGGAGTTATTGTGACGCTACTATAAAATTCTCTTTCTCTGGAGTCTGATGTCTCTGGTGTTCTCACCTCTTCAGACATTTCTTCATGTCTTTCTACAGTTGCATGGTCAGGTGCTTGCCTTTGACTTTCATCAGTCAGTATATCAAGACTTGTGGTTTCTCCTGTATGTTCCCTCATCACAGCGCATGTTTCACTTATCTCAGCCACTTCCTCCAGAGCATTTTCTTCCATTTCATTTTTTTCTTGAATAGTTGCTTCTCTTTCCGGTTGGATGTCACCTCCTCCAAATTCCTGTTCCTTTACTGACCATTCAACAAGCACAGTTTCTTGGGATATGAGTGTTATCTCCTTAGCTTCATCTTCTATTTCTAATCCAATCTCCTGTGCAGTCTGAGTGACTACTTCTATCACAGTTTCTTCACTAATCACCTGTGCTTCATCTGACAGCTTAACTCTTTCTGCAACTTCCTCAAGAATTTCTCGTGTGTGTTTGTTTAATTCTTCCAAATTTTGCTCGGTGCCATCTACCTCTTGCACAGGTGTAACTTCTTCAGTAGTATCTGGAGTTTCAGGTAACTGTGAGACTGCTGACACCATCTCGGTTGTCTCCTCAGCAAGAGACACTTCTGTTGCTTCTTCAGCACAGGAAACTTCTGTTGCTTCTTCCCGAGCTGTAACAGCTTCTGAAGTCAACTCCAACTCACTCATTAGAGTATCATCACTTGTGTCCTTTCTCATCTCAGGCAAAGTTTTAGTAACCACTACTGTTTCCTCTACAATGACTTCTGCTTCAGATATCTGCTCAGCTGGTTTTTCTTCTTCTTTCACCTGTTCAATAGTTTCTGTCACCGCAGCAGATATCCAGGATGGTGATCTTTCTTCAATACTGGTAACTGCTCTTTCCCCCTCCACAACTGTCACAGTAACTGCATGAACAAGTCCTTCATTGGATTGGTCAGTTTCTAAGGCATCTTGTAATTTTTCAGCTTTTTCTTCCTCTAAAGTTCCCTCCTGTGCTGCTTCAGCTTGGACTGCCATTTGGGCTTCAATTTTTTCTCGTTCAGCTGCTTCATATTCCGACAAAGGAACAACGGCTGGAACATCAGAGTCTTCCTCTGCAGTTTCTGCTAATATTTCTCCAACTTCATCAACACGAGCTTGTTCTAGTTTTCCGTCTGACTTTTTCTTCCTTCGGCCAGGCATTAATTTTCTAAATGAGACCCAAGACTCTTCCTTTCCAGGCTCCCCATCAGAAGTAGAATGTTCTATGCTAGCAGCAGTGACAGGTTCTTCATTTTTATCCTCCATTTTAGTTTTGGACTTTCTTCTCGGAGTGACTAATCTTTTAAACGATTCCCATGTTGAGAAACCCTCACCTTCGGATGGACTTCCAGTTTCTTCTGCTGAGGAACCTCCATGCCCGTGATCGCTTTCCTGTGAACTGGTAAGCATGGTGTCTGCTGCGGTGTCTTTGTTTTCTCCACTTTCGTCTATTTTTTGGCCTTCTTGAGCAGGCTTCTGTCCTACTTCCTCATCAGATGATGATGATTTTCTAGCTCTTTTCTTAGAGGATCCTACACAAATGAAGGCCTCCCATGATACTGAAGTATCGACTTTACGTTTTGGGTCTTCTGTGTTTTTTTCTAACTTCAGGTCCTCACTGTTTTCTTTAGCTTCTTCCTGATTTTCACTTTTAGTAGAAGAAAGGGTGGCAGTTTTTCCTTTATCTATTTCTTCTTCTTTGTCACTTTCGGAAGGCCTCCTTATACGTTTCTTTGGAGTCACCATCTTTTTAAATGATGCCCATGGAGTAACATTTTCTCTCTTCCGCTCTGTGTCTAAAATTATTCCTTCTTCATTTTCACTTGCCCGGATTGCATTGATGTCTTTTTCAACGGACGGAATCTCAGTTGACTCTTCAGGGGAAGAGGCTGAGCTCTCTGCTTTTGGCTCATCTGGGCTTTCTAGAGAATCAGACAGATGCTGAATTTGAGCTGCTGGTTCTCCCAACTTAGTTTCTTCTCTTTTTCCTTTATGCTTCTTTCCAGAAAGCTTCTTTAAGCCAGTACCTGTAAACAGTTTCTTTAATGGGCTGCCTTGGACTTTGGCTCTCTCTTGTGATGACAACATTTCAACCTCATTTGTAATACCTTCTGGTGGCTTACATACAGCTACATCTTCAGAGACTGGTTCTGTTTGTTTGATGAGATCATTCTCTATTTTGCAGACTGTTTCTTTGTCCTTTAGAACTTCATCAGTTGGTTGGACTTTCTTTAGGTCAGTATCTCCTTCAAATGACTGCTCAGGAACTGAGGAGGGCCTCTGTTCAGCTGCAGATAAATCAAGGGCTAGTTCCGCCTCATGTGCTTTAATCACTTTCTCTTCTACAGTACTAACACAAGCTTCTACCATTGTCTCTACCTTCTCATCAAAAACTTCCATTGCCAATGGAGCTACTGGCTCAGATTTTTCTTGCATTTTTCCTTCAGATTTTTCAGCAAAGACTTCAGTTGACAATGGAGCCTCTAGTTCAGATTTCTCCTCAGAATATAATTCAGTTTTCTCCTCTAGGGCTATTTTATATTCTTTCACTTGTTCTATTTTTTCTTCAAAAGATCCCTCAGATTCCTTGTTGACACTTACAGTGGTCTCCTGTAGAACTGGCTGTTCAGAAAGAACAGTAACTTCTTTCAATGTTGTTTCTTCTGGGGTCTCTGCAACATCTCTTTCTTGCTCTTGCACATCTTTCTTACTTCTCTTCTCCTTTTCACTCACTTCTGTGGGGATCTCTGCTACTGTCTGCTCTTGCTCTTCTTTATCAGTTTTTTCTTTCTCACTTGCTTGTAGTGGGACATCTGTGACATCCTTTCCTTGGTCCTGTTTTTCTTTCTCTGTTTTCTCTCTCTCACTTGTTTCTGTAGGGATCTCTACTACCTCATTGTCTTGTTCTTGCTTTTCTTCCTCAATTTTCTCTTTCTCAATTGGTTCTACTGCAATTTCTGCCCCGTCCTTTTCTTGCTCGTTTTTTTCGTTCTCAGGAGACTGCTGTTCATCATCTTTAGGCTTCCTGAAACTTGTCTTTTTCCTAAACCCTGCCCAACCTTGTGTAAAGAATTTCCTTAGTGGTGATGAGGTTTCGTTAACTAATGCAGTTGGAGACTCTGGTGACTTGCTAGGATCTTTTTTAACTTCTGCCACTTTGCTCCCTTCTGCTTCCTCACTTGGACTTTCTGCCAGCTTTTCAGGAGGAGACTCATCTTTCCTCTCCTCACTCTCAGTTGTTTCTTCAATCTTTTCTACAGGATGAGTTACTTCACTTTGTGTTGCTTCTTCCACCTCTTCTAGCTGGACTTCTTTATGATCTCCTGCTCCATCTGCAGACACTAGGTCTTCTTTTTTTACAGTCAGTAGCTGAACAGGTTCAGATTTTTCAGTCTTATCCTTTTTAACAGTAAATTTGAATCCAACAAATTTAAAAACCTTTTTAAATCCAACATCATTAGATTGTGGTTCACTGGATTGTTCCATCTCTTCTACTTTTTCATCTGGTGATGGTAACTGTTCCGTAGCATCTTGAGCATCCATCTGATCTTCTTTCACACCATCTTTGTCATCTTTATCAGTTGCTTCTGATTGGGTAGTCTCCATATTTTCAGCTATCTCTTCTTTTAGAATCACATTTGTAGGTTCTCTTTGTCCAACTGTAAAAAATCAAAAAAGATAAAAATCAAATTAGATTAACTGCATCCTTAATTAACTGCTAGATTTTATATTAAAAAGCTGAAGACAATATATGTTTCAACTCTTAACACAAAATGATCTGCATTTTAAAGAAGTCTTATAAAATACAAATACCATTATAGAGGCAACTTTTAGGTCTGCTTTAATTAAACCTTTATCATCTTTATTATGAGCCAAGCTTTCTCCTCACTAAAAGAAAGGGGAAAAATCACCTGCAAGACAGAAAGCTGCCTGCAGCAACAGTGGAACTCAATGATTCAGAATATTTGGGCTTCCTCTCACTCTTTCTGTGCAAATGAAAATTTAGACTGTACAACAAATGCAATACTTTGATTTTGTGTAAGCATCCATTTCTCACTTCAGGTAGTAATATCCTACCTGGAGGATACACAGGACAGTATTATTAATTATTCTGAAGCAGTCTCCTTTCCAGCTGGAAGAAAAGCACAGCATCAAGAATGAAAGAAAGATTCAGATGTGGAAAATGCTGATGTCCCAGAATAATGTATGGGAGGAGTCTTTCATGACTATATCTGGATATAGCTACAAGATATGATAGGGCCCTCACAGATCCAAAAATAGATGTGAAATATCCTAACTACTAGTTCTTGCTTCAGTCACAAGCTGTGCCTCTCTGCACCTTTCAGTAGGAATATTTAAAAAATAATGTATACTTATTTATTTGTATACATACAATTTAAAATCTCAGGATGAATCTGAAAGAGAGAGAGAGGGAGAGGGAGAAGGAGAGAAAGTAAAACTAGCAGTTTTTCAAGTTTACCCTGCGATCTTAAAATCAAACTGGATTCTTTCTTCTCTATATTTTATCGCCACTTTAGAAAATTTCTGATGACCCCACCTGCCCACATCTCCACCAGTGCAACTCTATGTAAAATACTGAGATTGCAGAGTATAAATTAGCCTGCAAAGAAACAAAGAGCCCAATGTTAGTCTTAGATCTTAGTAGCTTGATCTCTACTTCTCTGCTCCCTGGGTGCTACTCTGGTGGTTTCTGCCTCAGTCAAGAGAACACAGGCAGTGAAGACTGCAACTCTGAGAAAGTCTACCATATTTTTAATCAAATATCCTGAGATGGTAAAGGAACGATGAGAATATAAGTTCAGCATAATAGTTCTGTGCTTTACATGCAACACAATGTATACAGTCAGCTGCGGTAAGTATTCCACTGCATCAGGAAGTCAAGGCCCTATCCATTCCCCTTCCTTTCCACTCGTGTGCAGAGGGGTGGGGGAAAAAAAAGAAAAGTAAAAAAGCAGTCTAAAGGCAGCTGGTGCCTCCATCCCTTCCTGAGGGGGTTCAGGCAGCTGGCCTAACAACAAGGGTGCCATCTTACTTCTCTGAACTGCCACAAACATGTCACATGCTTGCCCTAAATAAAAGTACTCACTGAAAATTATTTTAAATGCGTTTCCTTCCAAGAGAGATCTCTGGAACCTTAATACATATAAGATTTTTATAACACACATTTTTTAGGTTAACTTCTACTTACAACGCACTCTTCTGCACTACATACTGATTGATATGATAACTGCTTCTGCGTGTGTCAGTCTCTGCGCTCTCTGCTTTCCTACAGATTGTCAAAAGGGTCAAATCTCATTGAGGCTTTCCTCCTAAGTACATTAGGCCACTAGGTGGAGACAATCTAGTGAATTTCTTGTACAGTGTGTACAAAGTACAATCAAAATCCAATAGGCACTATATTCCTTGTGGGTGGCTTGCCAGGGACCTTAATTTATGCAGTATATTACAAAAGGGAAAAAAGCAAGTTTGTTACAGCTTGCCATTTTCTGAGTCCTCTTTCTTATACTGCTAGTATTTCCGCCACAATCTAAAACCTATTGTAATTGTAAATACTGTCTTTGCATTCAAATTCTAATTCTTGCCAGTGGCCAAATTCACTAAGAAGGAAAACAAAAATGAGACTGCATGACTCCTTTTATATTAAAAAGGAAAAAAAAAACCCTGGTAACAGGAAAGGCCCAGAGACTATGATGCACACAGAGAAGACTAAACACATACAGGAAAATGCACTGTTTTGAGTTTTCACTCACAACTACCAATTTTGAAAGACCTATAGTAAAAATATCCATTCCCTTCTAGTCAAAATCATATTGGGAAATGTTATGATGCCCCTGCTGTTGCTGCTAAAACCTGACTGTACTGGATTTAGACTATTTTCATTTAAGAAAACACACTTGCATGAAAATCGTAAGCAGTAGACATAAACCCTTGCCTGCAATCAGAATCATACAGACAAATTCCTGCTCCTGTGAAGAGCCAATAAGCATTAGTAGGGTCCCTGCATGGGCCCAAGGGTCTATATGCTTGGATCTAACAGCAGAATCAGGATCACATTTGTACAGCCTATTCATATACCAACTGAACCCTTCAACAGGAGCTGAAGCAGTTTCACTTAAAGGAAGAGCTTGGTGTTCATTCAAAAGGGATTAATGATTTTTGCACATATTTATTTAAAGGATTTCATTATTTGTAGCAGCAGGCTGGTATTTTTTTAATACTTGCCACAGTAATTCTTTGATAGTTCTCACACGATAGTAAGTGAAAACACAATAAGAGTACTAACTATGCATGTTTCAGCACACAGGCATATGGCACGTCAGTCATTAGAACAGTTAAGATTTAAAAACAAAAATGAAAATACCCTCAACAAACAACAGCAGCAAATACCAAGGAGGATGCCTGGTGGGATTTCTGACCTCTCAATGCCCTCAGGAACAGCTAGTCATATTGCAATAAAAAAACAAGCAGCCCTGAAATCTCTCCATGAGATCTTAAACTCAAACTAGCCTTTTTCCCCTTCTACACACTATCACCAGTATGGAAGTGTTCTGAAAGTCAGATTCTGCCCTCAATTACACCAGCAGAAGTGTTTTTAACACTCTTGAGGGTGCAGAACTGTAAGACATGTATAGACTGGCTTGGAGCATCTCAACATCTGTGCAGAGTAATCTGCACAATAACAAAATAGGAGGATTATTCAACAAGAAGCTAGTTTGTCATATGAATTAGGATAGTAACAGGGAAATTGAGAAGAATTACAAGTAAATTTTAATAATAAATCCTCAGTGCTACATCATGGCTTCCAGCATTTGACTTCAAGGAATTCTCCCCACTGGAACGCTACAGCTGTAACTGCTCTTAGGTAAGAACTAGGCCTCCTTTATATTTACAGTACACTGAGAGGGAAGTTTCATTCTGGCTGTGGTCAGCTATTGCTTCCGTAGCGATTTGCATTATTTTTTTAAAAGAAAGTGGAATAACGAAGTGTAAAGGATAAATGAATGCTAAATGACAACTCAACTCTGGAGACAGTGGGCAAGTCTACATGAGACATTTACTGTGCAGTTGCCTAATTAGCTCCATAGTAAAACATCACCGTTTACACAAGCAGTACTATTAGTAGTAAACTACTCTGCCGCAAGACTTGTTCTTTACTTTGCAGCAACGCATGTGTACATATTGATGGGGCTGGCTGGAGCATGAGGGTGCTTCAGTGTGGGGGCTGCCTGCTGGCTAGTGCCCCAGCCCTCAACCCCGCAGCCCGCC